AAGGGGTTCAGGACAGCTCCACTATGTAGATATCCACCACCATAGTTGTAGAGCGCAGCCCAACTTTTTCTATCGATATCTCAGTTGTTCTTTCCATGATAAAAGACTTGCCGGTATTTTCCTCCTTCCCAAAGAAATTTAAGTGAATAAAAACAAGTCTTGGTCTAGTCTATCGTCATTGTCTTACAATTAGTCCTGCATGCTTCGGACAAGCCTTGCGGCGCTGTACATCCCATCACCAAATCGGCGACGAGCACATAGTCCCTATTTTGTCGTTCTGGTAGTGCCCAACGCCTCAAAACTATATATCCACCCTGAATTTCCGAAAGTATTATGCCAATCGACTTCTTCTGTCTGGAGAATCAGTGTGGGGTTCCCAGCCACAAAAATTTTTGCCTACTTCATAGCATGAGAAATTGAACAACACTCACGTGGCGATTCTCTTGCAGGAAGAATCACCCAGAAGCTAATCCATTACGTGACAAATGCGATTTAAAGTAATTTGAGCAGGATTATCGCAATGCTCTCTGGACGAATCATTCAACTTAGCTTCGCGATGGGATTTTTTCAGGTATCGCTACATGACTCATACGTTGCAACTGCAAAGGACACTCAGGAACCATGTTAGCATGCTCATACTCATATTGACCGAATGGAAGAACAACGAAGACGTTCTGAAGCCTTGAGAAGATAGGTTCCCAAAAGGCTCGCGAAAATGGCTTCTTCAGGGTTTCTATACTTCAAACGATCTACTATGCTTGTTGAAGAATATGTCGGTTAAATCCAGTAAGGTACGGACAGTCGATTAGGTTATTAGCTCGTGCCTTTAGCTTATTTCTCGTATTTTCTGAAGACTGAACCGTCCTATTCTGAATGTATCCTAGATGGATTCAAAGTAAAAAAAGATGTTGATGGAATCTCCACTGCTCAGCACTGGATTCAACCAACATATGTCTAACCGGAGACCAGCAGAGGTATATTTAGTTAGCAACTGCACAGTAAAATCGACTTTTGATTTTTTCACTGAAAATGACTTTACAGGAAATGGTCCCCTTCAGAGGAACTATTCGTTCTACCTACTGGATAGTGCATTTTCCGCACAATCGTTTCACCCAAGAACGCGAAATGACTACGTAAAACATACGGAACGCGACGGTATGATCATATGGGATTTGCATAAGTTGAGAATTTAATGTTGGACTATGTGACACAGGAATACTGTTTGAATTTGAGAGTAGTCAGTTAGTAACTGGTGAGAGACTACAGCAGAACGTACAATCCTACATGATACCCAGACAAAAAGAGTTATACCAGTCAGCGTAGTCTATCAAAAGGCTGCTTGCTGTAAGCACGGTTAATTTGAAACTGTATTGGAGCAGCTCACCTGGCCACAATCGGCTATTTCGTAGACGTTTCCACGTTTTGCATTCGAAATTACTGTGAAATTGATTTTGTATTTTCCGTTTACCTGTATATCTTTACTGAACTTTACCCATGTATACAATATGAAGGATACCGCTATCTACTTCTTTTTTATCTGTTCACTTTAGGGCACGTAATCACTTCGTTGTACACTTCCTATGTGGAGAAATGAACGACAACGGGTATGTAGCGACAGACGTGGAACGAAATATGAAGTGTGGTATCGTGAGTATTGCTGATTTCTTGGTATATGAACGACATTCAAATGGCCTACAACAGAAATCTTCACAGTCGAGAATACACCACTTTCTACCTACCTTGTTCAGGCTGTAAGCAATGGTGGATATGAAATCAATGGAAAGATAGGTGCCGATGAAGAAAAGACAGCAAAAGCTATTCGGTTTTCCCTCCATCCGACGCTGACCGAAATNGAAGTGTGGTATCGTGAGTATTGCTGATTTCTTGGTATATGAACGACATTCAAATGGCCTACAACAGAAATCTTCACAGTCAAGAATACCACCACTTTCTATTCACCTGTTTCAGGCTGTAAGCAATGGTGGATATGAAATTAATGGAAAGATAGGTGCCGATGAAGAAAAGACAGCAAAAGCTATTCGGTTTTCCCTCCATCCGACGCTGACCGAAATAAGAACTTCCGATGATAGCAAGTCGAAAAGGATACGAGGAGGAAAATACCGTATGTTGTACAGCTTATCCTGATTTTTCTGCTCACCGCTAAACCGCTGGTCGCTGACATAAAGGATAAGGAAACCGTCTTTGACGTTGATCAATTCCGCTTCTCGATGCGCCCACTAGATCGACTTCCATTCAGTGTTGTAGTGACATATTGAATGCTTGTATCGCCTACAATGGCTTATATTCAGTAGTGGTACAAGTTAGAAGTGCTTCCATCTCCCAAACAAGTCTGGTACCAGTCTGGCACCAATTAGCCAACCCGTAGGCATGGAAGGCTTAGTTGTTTTGGACAGATATCAGCCGCAGATCAGTCCGTAAACCATGGGAATTTGACAGTGCACCACTTGCCACCGCATCATCTCTGCCCTTACGGTCGCAGTGTGTCGCTTTCACACTGTTTACATATAAAAAATAAAACTTGAAAAGCAATGGTGAGTGCGGTAAAATTCGGATAAAATGGCGTGTTCTATCAAAAGTAACACGAAAAGTCAGCTGAGATAAGAATTGAGATTCGTTTGGGCAGATCAGGAACTCCAAAGCGCTACATTTATAGCTAGGAATAAACGATGGGTGTGGGTCAGAGGTGCCTCTGCATTGGTCGTAGCAAATTACCCGGGCAACGTAGGTTTGACAGCGCGGTCTGATCTATAGATAGAAACTTTTTTTAGCTGGTAAACAATCCACGTAAAAGCGAGGCTCTCACTAAGCTCCAGTTTTCTGAGGCTTGCAAGTAGAAAAAAATTCGAATCTCACAGTAAATTGGCTTGTCGAGTATTTCATAATGTAATATCGGGAAAATGCTTACCCTAACTGACAACCAATGTTTGCTCATACTAGCAAATAGCTAGAAATTATTTCTGAATCTTTTGAAATTTTAATTGAGGTTATCAATATGGAAGTATTAGAATGCTTATATCTGACTGGCTTTTTCTGGCTGTTCTTGGTGTTCTGGTTGCATTTCTCTCAATATTTGTCGACATGATGGTTTATTATTTTCAACAAGGTTTGTTCACTTTTTTTCTCCCGATTATGTGAAGTTTGTAGTTTTACTCTTTTTTTGCTCATTTTTATTTTTTTTTTCAAATTTTCCCATCCCTCCAATCATTTAATCACCAATACCAATCATTGGATCGAACAACAGGAGGTCGGTATCCTAGCGTGAGCATGGACATGGAGAGCGTTTCGAACCTCTGGTTCTGCTGCCGAAGAAGAGGAGGTGGTCAACCAAGGTCAAGTACACTTAGGAATGGCCGCTGCATTGGGCAGCAAGCAAGCCCATGGAGATCCATGACAATCAGCGACGACGTCTAACAGGATTCCATGACAAGCCATCTGACGTACTACAGAGTCATGTCGACTGAACGGTAGCAGTTTATTCTTCGACCGCTACGCTGTTTTCCTTTGACCCACGCACATTGGTGGAACCGTTTCGGGAGGTGCCATTTAGTTTGAGCAGTGACTCTGGACGCACCCTCAATGGCGAAAGGTGGACACACGCAACCCCTCCGGAAACATTGTCGAAAGTGATTGTTCTGATGATTGAGGTGTTATTGTATGGGGAGGCACGGTGTTGCATAGCCGTAAGACCTCCAGATTTTTGAGTGTGGAACCCGTAAACACAATGTTCCCGTAGCGAGTGCTGAGCGACCGCACAGAACAGCGCTGGTGGAGAAGCTCTTGGCACTAGAGAATATCCTGCAAATGGAGTGGCCTGCCCGTCCATCCGCCTAAATCCCATCGTACGCGGTGGGATGCACTGGGTACATGCAGTGCAGCAGCAAGGTAAAATGCACAGTGACCATCCAACAACTGCAATGATGGAGGTGTGCAAGGCTTTACTAGAGGAATTCATTGTGAACCTCGTGGAAGTTATGGGGTCGCGCTGCAGAGCATGTCCGTTGTGTTCACACTCCACTGGAAGCCGTGACACTTTTTTGAAGTACCAGAACAGAACGTAAAAACATACGAGTAATCGATCCTTCGAAAAAATATCTGGTTGTCCTATTTCGAATTTCTGTAGAGTGCTTCCTGTGCAATACAGTAATGGTCCTAACTTGTAATGGTAGAAACATGGTAAAAACTTCAGTTTTGCACACCAGAATAATTCGTATTCAAGAAATTTACGTCAAGTTTGAAATAGTTAGTTATTAGAATCTGTAGTCAACTTGCTCGCTTACGTGCGAACCTAACTAGGTTCTCCAGATGGAGGATTTCCCAATATCAATCTAGGTGGATTTGTGTCAGAGTCGGAGTCTGCTGTATATACTATGCACCTAATTCTTTGCCTCCCTATGTCTTCTCGCTTGAAGTTGACCTTTACACAGTATTACCGATTTTCTGCAAATTTCCAAAATTTCAAGATAAAACCAGCGAGCGTCAGAAAATATCCCCTCCCAACTTTTGTAAAAAGCTTCGGGAATGAGCAGTTTCTCTTCCTCTGTCTCCTCACATTTCTTGAAATTAATTGTGACTTTATTCGAGATATTTGTGTGTAGCGGTGTAGTGACCATGTTACAGTGCAGTCATTGACTTTCCCTCCAAGGAGAAAAGACAAAACTTTGCCTTTCTTCACATGGATGCTCAGTTTTTCTTCATGGTGCACTTATACGGTAGGAATGGTTTCCTTAGCAGCAACGTTTGTTCACTATGTTTCGCCACAGGCAATAGGTAGGTAGTTACAATTCCAGAGCTTTCTAAATATCGAGTGTTAGTGAAGAATCTACCGAGAAGCAACCACTGATCGCTTTGCATTCTTCATTCATTTCACTTTTTGCCCGTTTGTCACCAGAGATCTGAGTTGTCTGTCGATAGAGACAAGATGGTTCTGTCATTATTATAGCAGTAGTACTTTTATATATACAGGATCTGGTATATCTGAGATGAAGACTGTAATACGTGGAGTGATTCTGAAAGATTACTTGACGTTCAAAACTTTGGCGTCTAAGACGTTTGGCGTTGCGTTGGCTCTCGGCAGCGGAATTCCGATTCGGTTTGCATCACATTTTGATCCAGCCTTTAAAAATGAAACAAGAAGGGCCGAATGTCTGGCAGCAGCATGTGCCGTCGGCGTAGCGTGTACATTTAGTGCACCTGTTGGAGGTGTGTCCAACTTATTAGAACTATGTCAGCATATGTCGGAGAAAATGTTGCAGTGCCAAGTTCCCCTTACCAAAGAAGAGAGAAATCATGTGTTACTAGTTGTGTTAATACGAAATGTGTAAACACAAGTGTACAGAACTAGTGGTATAGTGATTCGTTTCGCCGCGTGCACTCAGACGAATCACTTAACGGGGTTAACTCCCGTGGCTCATCAGTGAGTAAGAGTCAACTCCGGTTCAATAAGATAAGTACTGCCAACACATGTGAATAAAAGGAGAAACAAGAGGGAAGGTGAAATTAAGATTTTCAGCCATTCCACAAAAACATACATTGTATATTCGAAAAGGCCTAAAATCGTTTTAACTTGAGTTGCCTGTTAATATCAGTAGGATACTCAGGTTAATTAGAACATGTTCTGCGTAGACTCTCAGAGGCTCATGGCCCGAAATCGCGGTCCAAGCAGAGTAATATATGCAAAATCTTACCCGCCTGAAGTTTGTTATATCAAGCTCGTCTGAAGGAAGTGAAAGGGGACTGATCCGTGTATCAGTCGGAAGAGGACAGACTTCCGACACAGCGAATGCTTTATACAATCCTATAAAAGGCACAGGGTAGAGGTGTTGTGGTGACAAGTGGCGCTCTATAATACACGCATGGTCACGGTTTCAAATCCCAGAATGACAACCCTAATTAAGCCTTTCATCCCTTATGGATCGGTCAATTGGTACCAGACTCAACTGGGAGGATAGAAGACTGACGTGTTCATCAGCCGGCCACCGCAAGTCATTGTGCAAGCCAGATACACATTCAAAATGGCACCATTCTTAATGGAAGTCGAAAATCGGGCGCATTTTCAAGACGAAATTGATTGACGCCTTATGACTCTATCCATAAAGCTTTTTATAAAGGATGAAACTTGCAACAATTAGAGCTATCTCGTTGACGATCATTAGTTAACCCTTCCAGGCGTGCTCTTTTCCATAGAAGTTACAACGATGTACTTTTCCGTACGAAGTTATTGGAGAGGTTTCTTCGCAGCTTGTTGTGGCGCAGTCACGATTCGACTCTTGAGAGGATTTGTTGTTCAAACAGAAGGTGGGAAATTTTACATCTGACCCTTTGAAACAATGCGAAGGAAGACTTTTCATTACATACAATCATACGAAACCTTTGCAAAAATGATGCACAGAGTGGTAAAGTCTGGTCGAAAAGGTAGAGGAAAGAGTTCTTGGTAATTTCAGTTACCGTCAATGCCTTCTTTCAAACCAGCTTTGCTCCTGATGCTTTCGTTGTCAAAGAAATTCCGCTTTTTGTGGTGCTTGGAGTTATTTGTGGAGCTTTGGGAGCTCTGTATATTTCGTTTTATAGAACAGTTGTGCTATTTCTCAGGAACAATGAGCGTGCTAAAGCGCTGTTTCAGCGGCAGTAAGTTTTTGGTACTAGCATGAGTAGTAGTCATAATAACATAGGTAATTTACGGTTCGGTATTTACCGTAAGCTGATTGAGGTGCTTTCAGTTGGATCGTCTACCCAATATTCGTACCTCTTGTATACAGCATCATTTCTTTTCCGCATGGTCTCGGACAATTTTCTTCAGGAAGGGTGAGTATGAAAAAGAGGGGAATCCTGAGGTGTTGAAAGCCCAACGGTGTTAATGGTCAATAGTATCAAATCCATTGTTATACTGAACTCATGCTAATATTTCTCCCAGTATTGTAGCCGATATCAAGACTCCCTTCCCACCCCCAAGTGCTTCATCGGTCTCTTCAACATAAAAGCGACACTCTTAACAGTACTTTTTGTAGTGAAGGCGTCACTCTTCACAATATTCTTCCTGCACTAACGTAAAGCCAAAGCGTGAGAAGTTGCGTATATTGTAAAGATCACAGTAGGTATCATGACATATCAGGCTTCTTAATGGTTTCTAGGACAAAAATACTAGGGAAATGGCGTAACATAGGAAACGTCAAATAACAATGAAAGTGTGCAACAGTCGAAGAAGTAATTCTTTAGCACAGCAGCACAATGCATTACATTACGTACCGAATAGGCATTCTAAAAAAGAATCACCTCCGATTCTCGGTGAAGCTTTTTTTACGATGTGCTGCGGTATCAAAGCGAGGTACGCACTAGTTACTTTATTCTGAACAACGAACGTGGTACTAATTGACCGAATCTGAAGAAATGAAAGAGTTGTTCAGCCGGGAAGCTGCTCAAGTCACTGAGGCGTGTGACAACCTTGACTTCTGCCTCCTCTTACAAGCAATTCGATAAAAATTCAGAGGCGATTCAGCAGCATCTTACAAATACACTAACGCACCAATACGGAAAGTACGAACTCCCCAAAAACAACGAATACGGAAGAAACATTGAAAAGCGGATGAACTAATGCGTTCGCGAATTTGAATAAAGAATCCGAAATAAATACCAAAACTTACATTTTAAATACCTGGCAAACTCGAAATGGAACCGAACGTGTCAGAATGATCAAATATCAAGTATCAGCAAGCCCCGAAAGGATTGAGGATTGGTTCCAGCGTGTTGATTCGGTGGTAGGTAATCAATCGTTCATTNATAGTTATAACGGTCTCATTGTGCTGTACTTCTCACCCTTTTCCCACCTCATCATGGAGCACCTGACATCATTTTCAACACGTAGACGAATGAATGATCATCAATCGGCTTTTTACAGCTCAAATTCGGAATGAACCTGAAGGACTTCTTCACCAATTGCACTTTTTCTGAGGATCCGCCTTCATTTCTTGCTTGCAACAGAGAGAATTTTGATCACTGGATGGACAACCGGGAGAGCGTTATAGCTTTGCTAGTTATTTTCATCATAGTGCACGTGAGTAGATTTTTATCCCATTTTCTGTGGTACGAGTGTAGCATAGGTGTTTCAGTTCGTCTTCTCAATAGTATGTATGACGCTGCCAGTTCCTTCCGGAGTGTTCATGCCGATATTTGTCTTGGGTGCCGCGATTGGAAGGCTGATGGGGGAGGTGAGCAGAATTTTCATGGGGCCTTAAGTTATGATTTCGTCTCCGAAACTCTATCACACAATTGGAGCCTATATACAAGACTGCTCGTACCGAGGGAACGTGCGATTCACCGTGACCTCACCATTTTTCTTCGCACGCTTCGTACGCGACGCATAGTGGCTTATCGCGACTTCGATGCGATCGCTACCGTGCGATTCAATTATGAAGAAAAAGGAGATATGCACTAGTCCATGACTACTTCGAGGTTGAGGACTTGAGGACAGCTGGTCCTTTTCTTTCTTGCCTTTTATGAATTCCTTTCCCATGATGATGGTAGGCATGATTTTATGGCGCGTCTCGTCCACAGCAACCACTGCAGCCCTCCCTTCAAGCGAGACAAGCTCTATTATCACTATGCCCCATCCGCTTTATGAAAGACGAGTCGTTCAGCTTGTCAAGCGCAAATATAGAACTGACAAAGGACCTTGGGTTCCTAGCAACAGCTGACGGATGATGTATTGTGAAGATCTAGCTGAATTGAATGCACAAAAGAAAACTGACCTGTATGCGGCTTGTTAGGAACTAGACCATCAAAGCGCCCAGAGCCTTATTTTGTTGGCGCGATTTTTGAACCGACAACGCGCCGCGACTCTAAGAAGATGTGTCGAAAGTCAAGCAAGCAACGCACCTTAAATTTTGCCCATATTCTTCCAAGATGCAGAGCAATGTTTGCTGGAGTTCTTGGTGGTTCCAATGCAAAATGTTACTGTTACGTCTCCTGAAGCCAAGTATTATATCTATCTGAAAGTTGAACAAGAAGCCTATCAAGCTTTTCTTTCTCGTGCTTTTTTTTCCCAAACTCCCTTTATTATTTAGTAAGCATGAATTGAAGTTTAACGGGTTTTTCGAATGTGCTGAATTTGCAGATCGTAGCAATTGCTCTACCATCAGGTGTTATCGAGGGACTCAACATTTACCCAGGTGTTTACGCAGTAGTAGGTAAGATTTACATTTTACCTGTAAGCGTTTTTGGAAAGATATTTGAATGACGATTTTTAAGGTGCTGCGAGCTTTTCTGCTTCCGTCACTCACACTGTTTCTGTGTCGGTTATGATTTTTGAAATTACGGGACAATTACACTATATTCTGCCTGTGATGGTATGAATTCAATTAGTGATTGTTATCGATGCATTTTGAATAGCTCTAAGCAAGATGAAGACCCTCGAAGGCACAGTCACGATAAAAACGGTTTCCGGATTTCTATCTACTATTAGCCTGAGGCCCCAAGTATTGCTTAAGGTACGCTGTTGTGTCGGCCTGCGCAGGCTTGGTAAGTCCCGAAACGGGCTTAGCCGAAGTATGAATCCAAAGGCGAACGAGCTCACATGACGTTGCAGAAGCTTCAGAGATTGTATTAGCCTGAGGCCCCAAGTATTGCTTAAGGTACGCTGTTGTGTCGGCCTGCGCAGGCTTGGTAAGTCCCGAAACGGGCTTAGCCGAAGTATGAATCCAAAGGCGAACGAGCTCACATGACGTTGCAGAAGCTTCAGAGATTGCACCATTACCATCACCACCGGAAACACGGGTGTGTGTACATTCGTGCAAGTCGAACTGCGCTCGGCAAAATTCGTAGCGATTCAAAGGACGCTGGCGCCTACTATTGGGGTACAAGCTTGAAGAGGAGTATATTAGTAGGGTCAGCGATACTGATAAGCTATTCCACTTCAAATCTGGGCCCCAATGATAGGCGCTAAAGTCGTCACAATCGCTATGAATTTTGCCACGCAATTTGCCGCGCGCGGTTCGAATTGCCCGAGTGTACAGCCCCTCCTCCCTCCTACGGAAACACACGTTCTACGCAGCCAGGTTACTGTAGTCAGCAGTGCGCAATGACCCTCAAATTGGACAGCTCGTCCAATTATCTAATCTATGCAACATTTGTAGCCACTGTCTCTCCAACCGATAAATTCACAAATTTTTTGAAGCCCTCCATAATATTTATTTGAAAACACTACTTTTCGCGCATACTTCCTTCATGACCTTTGCACTACTCTACTATAACACCCCTATTCTTTCGAAACCAGATGCCTCAAAATAACCGTGAACTGTGCCTTTAAACATTCACATATGGTAGAAGTAGTTGATTTATGAAATGAACCGCATGAGAAAATGAACTGAGGAGGCGGCCCTGCTCCGAAAACGAATATCGACAGTGTGCAATATTCGGTCCTGTTCTTTGAAAGTTCGACTACAATAGCAGCATTTACTAAAATCCGGCGAAATACTAAAAAAATGGCATTTGCGAAAAAACAAAAAAAACAAGTGTAGATGAAGAAAATTCACGTGAATGTCATCCCCCGTTACAGTCCTGAATACATGATCTGTATTAAAATCTCTGGTAATAAAAAAATTCAAAAATCACAAACGACTCAAGTTGGAGGAGAATATTAACCGATTAAATAATAATGTACACATTCAGATATCAGTTCTACTGTCCAACGCTGTATGTGCCTATATGCAGCCTTCGTTTTTCGACACGATTATAAAAATTAAACATCTACCATTTCTTCCAGATATACCTCCTTCAAATAATTTGTGAGTAAAATTTTTTTCCCAATTGTGTTGTAGTTTTTTGAGAATATAGAACGAAGAGGTAGGCTGTTCTATCACACTAGTTGTTCAAGAGTATATGATTGAGGGCGTGGCTTCGATTCCAACTTCATAGCCTGTGAAGTATGTTCATGAAGAAAATAATTTGTTCAGTCATGAGTTTGTATACATATTTACTGTGCAAAGATCTATCTTCCACAGAGTTACAGTACGAGGGAAAAGAGTGGGTATGGGGAACCTCATAAATCATAGGCTCTCAGAGGGTTATTGGAGATACTTTACACAAACTTGATACTCAAATGAACTTGATAGCACTTTGAAAACCCTACTTTCCTGACCCAACTGATTCATTTTACGATATAATTTACAAGACTCCACTATTGACAGGAGCGCCTCACAGACCTACAGGCCCTCGCCTTTTATGACTTCTTATCGGTCCCTATCACTTGATATCATTCTCTGTCACCAATCACTAACGGTCCCCTCATATGCTACACCACCTGCCAAAGTGCCAAGGCTTCACCGCTAATACGAAGGGAGTTACGGACCCTGTGGCTTTTGCCTTTTAAGGCTGCTTATCAGTTTCTATCGATAGTTGTCACTTCCAATCACCTACCATCAGTGTTCCCATCCCGCCATCTATCTCTCTTTCAAATTTTAATGCCCTAGGTCCAGTGGGACAGGAGTTATGAATTTCCGGTCAGACAAACACACACACAAACACACCAACAGACACACTTAGCCGATTATACAAGTAGGATACTTTACAGAGACTTGATACTCAAGTGAACCTGATAGCAGTTTGCAAACCCTACTTTCCTGGTCCAACTGATTCATTTTACGATATAATTCTTTTTTTTTTCGGAGATTTCAATCACAATGAACTCCTGAAGAAATGCGAGGTCCATGAATTGACATTTCGGCGGTGTCATAAATGAGAGCTATTAGTCCCATGCGAAGATGCTGTCTATTACTCAGAGCAAAAATATCGATCTGTCACATAAGAAAGGCAGGGACCCTCATAGTGATAAGCTGACATATGAGCGTCTAGAGTCACTTCTTCATACGTCAGAGTCCTTTAAAAGTTATAGAATTAACATCAGGACACTACGAATTCCAAATGAAACTTTGGGTAGGTCTTCCGAGAAAGTGCTAGCAGCAGGGAGTTTATGGGATTTGTAGAAAGTGAAGCCTTAAGATGTACAACGATTCAAGCAATTTTTAGGGGTTTCTGTAAGTGAAGCGAGAGGTAAAAGGCTAGAAAAGCGGCGGCGTCGGCGTGACTTCCATATGTTAAAAGAGAAGGGTGTTTGGTGAGAGTGTAGAATCTAAAATCATGAGTGTTCAATTAATTAAATGCTTTTCTTAAGCGGACTTCCAATTTCTCCCTAGAAATCCGATGTTTCAGGGTGCACACTCTTCGAGCTGAAGATATAATGATTTCTCCTGTTTTGTATACTACGAGGATCATCTCCTATGCTACCATTCAACAGATTCTTTTGGATGATAGAAACCTTAGAATA